GTAAAGACAGTTCTGCACAGTGATACACACATGTAATCCCAGCAGCTCAGGAGGCTGAAGCAGGAGGATCACAAGTTCAAAGCCAGACTCAGCAAAAGCAAGACGCTAAGCAACTCAGTGATACCTGTCTCCAAATAATGTAGAAAACAGGGATGGAGATGTCACTCTGTGTTCGAATGCCCCTAAGTTCAATCCCTGCTATCCAAAAAATAAAAATAAAAAAGTGCTGGTGATATAGCTCAGTGATAAACTGCCCCAATTTAATCCCCAGTACGCTAAAATAAAAACCAAGACAGCCATAGCTGGGACAAAATATATGAAAAATACAAAGAACTTGTACACAAACTGTATATAAAAACTCCAAACCCAACAATAAGAAAAATAAATCAATTTTTTTAAAAAATAGGCAAAAAGCAGCCAGGCCTGTTGATGCACACCTGTAATCTTAGCTACTTGGGAGACTGAAGCAAGAGGATCACAGGCTCAAGGACAGCCATGATAACTTAGTGAGACCCTTGTCTCAATTTGTTTTAAAGAACTAGGGATATACCTTTGTTTTTGCCTATCATGCTTACGCTGGAGGCACTAGGTTCATCCCATTAATGCAAAAGAAGTAGGGGGGTTAAAAGATATAAACAAGTACTTCATGTTATGATTCAGATATGAAGTGTCCACAAAAGTTAATGTGTGAGCCAATGCAAGAAAGTTTAGAGTGAAATGACTGGGATATAAGAGTCTTAATCAGTGCATTAATCCCCTGACAAGGATCAACAGAGTGGTGACTGTAGACAGGGTATGACAAGAGGAGGTAGGTCACTGGGGGATGTGTCTTATATTTTATCCTTGGTGAGAGAACTCTCTCTTTCCTTCCTGGTGCCAAGTTCCCAGTTGCTTTCCTCTATTACACACTGTAATCATGATGTTCTGCCTCACATCAGGCCCCAAGGAATGGAGTGGGCTGTCTATGGATTAAGAATTCTTGAACCGTGAGCCCTAAAATAAACTTTTCCTCCTTAAAATTGTTATTGTCTGGTCTTTTGGTCACAGCAGCAAAAAAGCTGACTAAAACACCTCAATAAAGAAGACACACAGATTGGCAATTATACACATAAAAAGATATCAACTGACAGTATCAGAAGGTATTGAGAATATGAAGCAACTGGAAATCTCATATATTGCTAGTGGGAACACAGAAGAGGACAGCCACTGTTCAGTTTGGCAGTTTCTTACAAAGCTAAACCTGTACTCACCATATAATCTAAAATTTCTACTATTTAGATATTCATGCCCCAGAATTCATGAAAAGATCTGCACAATAATGTTAGGAGTAGCTTTATTCATAATAGCCAAAATGTAAAAACAATGTGAATGTCCATCAACTGAAAAATGAACAGACAGCAATATATCCAAACAATGGAATATTATTTTGTAATAAGGATCAAACTACTGATAAATGAAATTACATGCATGAATCTTAAAAGCACTGGTTCATATGAAATCAGACTAACAAAAAGATTATATTCTATACAATTTAACTTAGAAGACATTCTAAATAAGGTGAAATACAGTCACAGAAAAAAAGATTAATGATTTTCAGAATTTGTGGGAAGGATATTAAGGAAGAAGGAAGTGATAGTAATATTCTGTATTTTTCGTGTGTCGGTGTTCATACAAATGTATACATTGCAAAAACTCCTTGAACTACCCACTTAACAAGGGAGAATTTTATTAATTATACCTTAATATACTTGACTTTAAAAAATAAAAGTAAGCTGGGCAAGGTGTTACATGCATAATCCCAGCAACTTGGGAGGTTGAAGCAAGAGGACTGCAAGTTTGAGGTCAGCCCTAAGCAACTTAGTAAGATCTTGTCTCTAAATAAATAAATAAATAAATAAATAAATAAATGGTCTGAGGATGTGACTCGCACCCCTGGAATTCCCTGTACCAATCAATCAATTAAAAAATGAATGAGTGCAATACACCCAAACCTCTACCTTTACAGATCTGTAAGTATAGATATATTAGAGCAAGAAAGTATAGTACCATATGACCATGAACATGATATAAAAATAGAATTAGATTTGAAGGCAAGCAATATATCTTATTCCAATTACATGACTACTCTTGGCTTTAGGCTTCCCTGCTATAAACAGAAGGGTTTACAACAGTTTCCTAAATCAGAATGTTCCTAAACATTCAGAATCTTCACAGTTATTCTGGGGGAAGGTTTCCAAGATCAAATTACTTGAGATATGGTACCCATAACGTGAATAACAATATAATTTAGCATATGAAAAGGCAAAGTATTCCTATATCTATTCAATATTTTCCTATTATTGTAAAACGCACTTCACTGAACATTGTTTTTCAACAAAATGTTGCTATAGTTTTCTCCAGTTCTAAGATTCTTTCATAAAACTTTTATAAGACTTATCTACCTAATTAAGTTCTGTGTAGACTGTACCCCACAATGAAAAACCTGCCTCAAATCACAAAGTCAAAAGCAAATTTCATATTTATCTTGATTACTATCTTAGAAATCCTGAGGTTTTTTTTTTTTAATCCTCTGAGTTTTCAATCAGGCTCTGCATTCCAATTCTCTTTAACTTAGGTATGGTTCACTACTATGTACTACCTGAAGATACACGATTGAATTACCTCTATTCTAAAAGCCCTTCCCAAATAACATAGCAGATTTTAAGAATTTGAGAGCAATACCAGGAATACAACAATTCCTAAGCAATTACTAAAAGTATAATAAACTGATTCAAGTCAGTGTAAAAATCTTACTATACAAAACCAGCATAAATTTGAAAGAGCATGCTTAGTTAAAAGAAAAAGGAGGAGCTGCTGGTTGTAGTTCAGTGGTAGAACACTTGCCTAGCACATGTGAGCCACTGAGTTTGATCCCCAGCACCATATAAACCTACATGAAGAAAATAAAGATATTGTGTCCATCTACAACTAAAGATATTTTTTAAAAAGAAAATGGAAACAAGATGGAAGGTTAGAGAAGATTTTAAAAGCCTGAAAATACTTTGTAAAGTCTGCTCTTCTGCTCTTCACATGTGACCACTAAAGAAGTATAACACACTAGAAAAATAACATTGAATATTATGGCTAAAAATATATATTGTTAGCAAAAATAAATGGATGGAAATTGTCTCAATTCAGTGCAATAAATTATGAAGTTTTAAGTGGTTTAAGGGAAAGTGCACATTGAAGAATTCTGGTGAGGTAAACAAAGTACCCTTTAAAGTGAAAAAAAAAATGTTAGCAATGTTACATCCAATTAAACCCAACCCAGTAATGTATTTGCCAACTAACTTCAGACTATAAAAAACTATTGCTAACGGTACAATTGAAAGTATCAAATTTCCCTTAATATGTCTTGTGAATGTTCTTTAACCAATGAATTTGCATAAATATCTTTTTTTTGGGGGGGGGTACTAGGGGGGATACTGAACCCTGGAGTGCATTCCCTCTAAACTACAATCCCAGTCCATTTTTTGTTTTGTGGTGGTGGGGAGGTTGTTTGTTTTTGTTTTGTTTTGTTTTATTTTGTTTTTGAGACAGGGTCTTACCAAGTTGCTCGGGCTGGCCTTATACTTTTGCTGCCCTCCTGCCTTAGCCTCCCAAGTCACTGGAATTATAGGTGTGCATTACCACACCTGATTTAAATAGTTTTATTTATTTTACTTATTTATTTGTTTTTTGGTACTGGGGATTTAATCCAGGATCACTTTACCAATAAGCCACATTTCTAGCCTTATTTATTTATTTGTTTGTTTTAGAATCAGGGTCTTGCTAAGTCACTGAAGCTGGCCTTGAACTCATAATCCTTCTGTCTCAACCCCCAGGGTTGCTGAGATTACAGGCATGCACCACCATGCCCAGCTGTGGTCTAAATATATTTTTAAATAATTTCTAACACTAACTTATTTAATGTCTGGAGGTAAATACATTCTTATAAACTTATTGTATATAATAGTATCTTTTTGTAAAAAAGTATTCTATTTTTTTTTCTTTATATCAGGCATTGAAACCTGTACACTTTACCAGTGGGCTACATCCCTAGTCCTTTTTAATTCTTATTTCCTGACAGGGTCTCAACTAAGTTGTCCAGGCTGAACTAAAACTTGTGATCTTCCTGCCTCAGTCTCTAGAGTAGCTGGCATTACAGTCATGCACCACCATGCCAGCTTAAAAAAAGTACTCTTATTTTTCAATCTGAAATTCAGTCCTTTAAAATTTTAATACATACTCTATAACACTATGCACTATAAAAACTATATAATTTTTGAAGAGGGAGAAAACAGAGAAACAGAATGGCAGTTCATCCAACACCTTGTTTGGCAAATGTGTTGTGAGAGCTAATCATATAAATGATTTTGTGCCTAAATCTCCTTGGGAACCACAACTAGTATTTCTTCAAAATGTTCTGGCCAGAGATGTCCCAATAGTAATTTGAATGGGAGATGTAAATTGAAGTAAAGTAGAATTGGGAAGAGTGACTTTTTTTCTTAATAAGACACATAAACATCATTACAAGTTTGGCAAACAGATATAAGCAGAATATACTTTTGTTTCCTTGTGAAAGCAATCAGAAGGGATAAGTTTTGGGAAACTTTTGGGAAAAGTAAAAACTTCTGGGAAATCCAGCACACAGACAATCACGGGGATAAAAACATCTGTACTATATTTTTTAAAAGAAATGTTTTTGCCAAGAAAGAAATGAAATGAAAAAAAGTCACCTTTTACCAAAAAAAAAAAAAAAACATGGTTATATTTTGTTTTAACTAAAAATGACTTAAAATCCAGACTAACAAACTCCTTAGGAACATAACCAGTTTATTTATACTTCAAATTTAATTTTTATAAACATTTTTGCCTTTCTAATAAGTTCAAGAAAGAATGAATCAAGAACATGTTTATAACTCAAGGGGATAATTACTCACCCACATTTGGAGGTTTCACATAATTTACAGGTAGTTCTGGAGGTCTGCCTCTATGTAGAGCTGCAAAAGCAGACCCATTCCATAGTGTACTCTTACAGTCTGTGTAAAAAGACTAAAAGTTAGTCAAGGAATACAGCAGTATTTTTCTTTTCCTTTGTGCCTCTGAGGCACATATCTGATTTCAATTTCATTTCTTGGAATATATGTTGCCCTATTAAAGCCACAACAAAATGATATTCATATATTTAAACATTTCTTAAACTAAATCATAACTAGTAAACACAATACCTTCACATAATAATCACAGGATATTGTATTTCTGCATTTCTTTCAAACTAAAACTTCTTTTATGTACATTTAAATCTTATGCAACTGTGTCACAGATGAAAAAAATTTGGTTTACATTTTTCTTCTTGATCTTTAGGCTTATACATGCCTACTCATGACATTGTATAAGCAAAGATCTGATCAAATCTTTGTACAAATTTTCCACAGAAAATTCAGGCACATTTACACGTTGTGCAAGCTCATATTATTGAGTACTTACAGGTTGTGCCATAAGAAGTAACACAGCATATCAGATGATTACTAACTATAAATAGTCATCATTTTTGTCTCTTATCTTTATGTTAAAAATTTGAAAAAAATCTAAATATTCCTAATAATTAGACTGAGAAATAAAAATATATGAGTACTCTTAAAAGCTTCCAAATTAACTCAATGAAAGAATTGCAATTATAAAATGAGATGCTTAAAATCTGCAACAGCCAAGTACAGTGGTGAATGACTGTAATCCCAGCAGGTTGGGAGGATGAAGCAGGAGGACCTCAAGTTCAAAGCCAGCTTCAACAACTTAGCAAAACTTAGGGAGATCCTGTCTCAACATAAAAAATAAAAAGTGGTGGAGGATATGGCTCAATGGTCAAGTGACCCTGGTACCAAAATAAAATAAAATCTGGCATCATTTATACAACTATCTCTTTTTAAAAATAATTATCTTTCAGTTGTAGTTGGACACAATACCTTTAATTTATTTATTTTTATGTGGTGCTAAGGATCAAACTCAGAGCCTTGCACGTGCTAGGCAAGCGCTCTACCGCTGAGCCACAACCATGTAACTATCTTAATGAAGTAGATCTTTAAAAACAGTATGCTAATAAAACAATACATACAAATAAACTGGTTGCTTGCCCAGAAGTATTTAATATTCTAAGAGTTATTCTTAATGCCCAATTTTACTTTTTTTTGGTACTAGGATTTAACCCAGGATTTGACTTTACCACTGAGCTACATCCCCAGTTCATTTTTATCTTATTTATTTATTTTAATTTTTAGAATAGGTCTTGCTAAGTTGTCAGGTTAGATTAAACTTGTGATCCACCTGCTTCAGCTTCCCATATCACTGGGCTCATAGGCATTCATCACCATGTCAGGCTAATTTCACATTTTTATATTAGAAAATTCCACTTTATATATGTTTTACATTTGGGGGTTCCATGTTGGAAAAAAGTCTATAAAAACTGAAAAGTAGCAAAATAGAGAAACCAGTATTTGACAGTCAGCAATGATTAATATTTTTGGTTTAAATATTTTCAATTATGAAAAATTTACATCTAATTTTCATTTATTTGTCATGAAATGAACAATAAGATTAGACTATATTATTAAGACTAATAAAGAGAAAAATATTTTAAAATAAGAAAATAATTTTTAAACATTTATACTATTGTAATCACAACAGTAGCCTTTGAGATTTCTATTTCAAAATTATAAAGGGGTTTTATATTCTTTTTTTTGAGAGGGTGTACTTTTCTTTTTCTTTTTTTAAATTTTTATTTGTTTTAATTAGTTATACATGACAGAAGAATGCATTTATATACTTTGATATATCATACATAGATGGAATATAATTTCTCATTTTTCTGAGTATACATAGTATACAATCATACTGGTCATACAGTCACATATATACATAAGGTAATAATGTCTGTTTCATTCTACTATGTTTCTTATCCCCATATCCCCTGCCTTCCCCTCCTTTCACTTCCCTCTACCTAATCTAAGGTAACAATATTCATTTTTTTTGCCTTTATACATGTACTTTTTTTGCATTACAATTCTTTATACACATATATACCACAGTTTTTGTATCTGTTTGTATATAAATTATGAAGACCTGAATTGGGTATCAACATACTTCATTTTATATTCTTTTTCTCTAATATTCAGATTGACACAAAGGGTTTCTTTATAGGCCTCTAAAAATTTACTTGTACACTAAGAAAGTAAAAACAATATGGACAAGATAACAAAATCTAGAAGAAAATGAGTATTTATCAAAAACAAGAGAACATTTTTTCTCTTTACTCCTTCCTCTAATAACAAAGTTCTAATGTATGAAAATCTTACCTTTGGCATCCCGTAACAGAGACTGCCGACCAACACCTAGTAATGTTTGTACCCCAGGAACACTCTGAGGGATCTCCTTATCTAGTAAGGGACCAATCCGCTCACAAATTTTAAGGAGGTAGTCTGGAGGAATGTGTGCATTGGCTGCCACCTAAAACAGAGAAATTAAACACAAGAGGAAAAACATAACATTTTTGGCTTACAAACATTAATTGAGTCTCTTACCATTTCCATCATGGAGCAGAGTATAGTTTTAAATATGAAATGAGTAAAATAAAATTTTAAACATTTAGTGCTTGAACTAAATTAAGAAAACAGCCACAAAATAAGCACATTTAAATGATATGACAGGGCTGGGGTTGTGGCTCAGTGGTAGAGCACTTGCCTAGCATGGGTGAGGCACTGGATTTGATCCTCAGCACCACATAAAAACAAATGAATAAAATAAATGTTAAATTCTTTTAAAAAAAAGAATGATATGACAACATTTAAATGAGATGGCACTCTAACTTACTTTATTTTTTTTACTTTAATATATCTGTATAAACTTATATGCTTAGCTGTTACTTTCACAAAATATGTGTTACAAAGCAGCAAAAGTATTCACGCCAAAGAAAAGCAATGTGTAAACACTGTTACTTGATTTACTCAGTACTGATAATGAACTTATCAAGAATTAGAAACGCTGGATTCTATACAAATGATAAGAACAAAAATGAAAGATATTACTTGCATCAAATCTCACCCAAGTCCCTTTATAATTAAGGTAACACATTTATACAATAAAGTAGAATTAGTTTTCCTATGTAAGTTCATTTGTTTCTAAAAGGGAATCTAATTAATGATTTTTATAAATACCACACTCTAGAAAAAGAATCCACGTAACAAACATGACTTGTAACTTAGACTCAATTTTTTTTTAATTGCAAGTAAATGTCAGAACATGTGCAAACACATAAAGTAGGAACTAATCAATAAAGAAACAATTTTAAAATCTAAGCTAATGCTCAAATCCTTGAAAGGTTTCATAAATACCTAATTATGAAAACAGTAAACAGAAAATAAGATTGTTAGCTACAAAGAGCATCCATACTCTCACGTTGACATAGGTCCACTTCTGGCTAGAATGCCATTTTTTTATATGTACTTCATATGTATATTGCAAAGGACATACATTAACAGGTCAAGAACAACAGTAAAACACAAAAGAAAAATTTTGTAAATCATCACTGGTGATCACTGGTGATCACTCTGAGAAAAGATATTTTGTCTTTTGTTCACTGCCATATTCCTAGTACTGAGAAAGTCCCTTGCATAAAGAATACATATTTGTTGAACAAATCAATGAATGAATGAATATCAAAGTAAAGTCTACCTATAATCAATGTTATAAGAATTTCTAGGGGAAAAATTTCAGTGCCTTTTTTGTCTTAGGAAATATAGGTTAAAGAACTAGAATATATGTATTCAGAATTCTGGGAATATAAGTGATTCTATTAAGATTATTATTTTTTGAAGTTATTTCCTTTTGTAAAATATCACTCATAAGCTCCTGAAGGAAAAAAAAATTACTCTACTAAAATAGATAGGGCACAAGCAACTATCATAAAGCTCAGAAGAATAGCAACGAGGTTACATCTACTAGTTTTAGCTTATGGGTTGAGACAAAGTATCAAACAAAATTTTTTAATTATTTCTCATAACTTAACACAATATAGGGCTTTTCCTATCATGTGCATACACATATAGTTAGTACTATTAAAATATATACAGTTTCTGAAGGGGGAAAACAGCTTTAAGGTACTGCATATTACTATTTATAACAGCTGTGCTTTTCCCAATACTGTCTTAGAAAAACCAGGCTTCTGATATCAGCCATTATTTTTTGATCAAGTAAATGCTATACCAGGGGCTTTATATAGGATGCTACTAGATATCTTTTATTGACAATTTTCTTTTTCTCATCCCCTGATCAACTCAACAGTTATATAAAACTTGTTATACAAAAGCTTAACTAAATACCATAGAAATACAACATATATAGCAATCTTTGTGTTTATGTGTGTGTGCACAGACTGGGGATCAAATACAGAAGCTTGTACATGCTAGGTGAGCACTGTAGCATTTGGCCATATCCTCAGTTTCTCTAATTAGAACTTTATTTGTATGATAAACCAGCAAATAAAGTTCACAAGTTTGATATTTACATGACAGAGAACTGTTGAATTTCTAAGCAGTCTCAAAAACAACTTTTCTGTAAAATCAATAAAAATGTCATTATTGGTAGTACTAAAGAAATACAGAGTCTACAAAAAGAATGGCAATAACAATATTTTGACTTTAAGCATACTAACTTCTCCTTAAATACTGGCATACTTCCAGACTTTATCAATGCAGTTCTTACAATGTTCCTTCCAAATCAAATTTGGGGTTTTAGAAGTGGTAGTTAATGTTTACTGGAATCCATTTATTTCTTAATAAAAATAGAGTTATTTTAAGATGATCTTTTCAGACATAAGAACTGTGTACAGAGTCTGGGATTCTATTGTGGCTTAGTGGGAGAGTGCTTGACTGGCACGGCTGAGGCACTGGATTCAATCCTCAGCACCAAATAAAAATAAATAAAACAAAGGTATTTTGTCCATCTACAACTAAAAATATTTTTAAAAAAGAACTGTGAACACTGAATAGTTACTTTTCAAAAATTTTTATAAGCCAGGCATGGTGGTGCATCCTATAATTCCTATGGCTCAAGAGGCTGAGGCAGGAGGACTGTGAGTTAAAAGCCAGCCTCAGGAACTTAGCAGCACTCTAAGCAACTCAACAAAACCCTGTATCTCAATAAAATATAAAAAAGGGCTGGGGATGTGGCTCAGTGGTTAAGGGCAAGTGAATTCAATCCCCAATTCCCCCCCCAAAAAAAGATTTTCTATAATTCTACATTAAAATATATATAAATGTAAAATAATATGTCACAAAATATAATTGTAAAAGTATGTACTTAAGTCAGGTAAGGTAGCACACATTAGTAATCCCAGTTACTTGGGAGACTGAGGCAGGTGGATCAGAAATTCAAGGCCCACCTCAGAAAATTAGCAAGGCTCTGTCTCAAATAAAAAAGAACTGGGGATATAGCTCACTCAGTCATAAAGCACCCCAGAGTTCAATCTCCAGTACAAAAAAAAAAAAAGTCTGTACTTAAAATATTCTTTCATGGCTTAATATTATAAACAACTCTTTTCAATTTTTTCAATTAAAGCTCAAACATCCTAATTTCAATCATTCAACTACATGTTTATCTTGGGAATATAATGGCTGACTAATAACTCTTCTCGAGTGTTTTGGGAACTTCTCTGAAAACAAAGTTTAAGAGTATAACACAAGTATTATTCTATAAAACAACTCCAATGCATTATAGAATATTTGAATTGGAAGGACATTTTGTATAATCAACCCAACTCCTCGTTACAGAGAAGTGAAGTGCTTTGTTTAAATGTCACAATGAATAGACAGGAATCTGGAACTCTGCCCACTCCTCTCTCTACCACTTATATTAACAGTTGAAAATTATAAAGTTGGAAACTGACAAAAAGGCTGCAAAAAGATGTAAACTATAAACCTGAATACATTGAAAGCAAAACTAAAAAATCCTAAATTATAAACCTTTTTGATAGAAGACTGGCTGACCTAGAGAGCAAACCTAATGACTGAATTCACTTCAGAATCATTTGGCAAGCGAGAAGACCTGAAATGCTAGATAATCCTGCATATCATAATTAGTTAAGAGAAATCCCGTTGAGCACTGAGTAAAGTGCTATATAGGTAGCTATCTTGGAAGGACAGTCCTACACCAAGAACTACATCTAAAATATAATTTTTCAAGTGGAAATGGTATAATTTTTTGAACCAAAGCTTTTAAAAATAATACAAACAAGTAACTCTTAAAAGTATAAGAAAAAAATTGTTTGTTTTTAACTAAGACTATGGCTACAGAGGTAAAATGAAGAAGCAAACAGGTATTGTATGCTTAAGGAAAATGAAACACTATCTGGTATTTTTAAATTAGTTTTACAAAGGAAGATGGAAGAGACATACAAAAGTTAGTCACATAATCTTAAAATCAATAGGGATAAAAAACAAAATAGATTTTGAAAAATAGGTTTAACTATATTAATAGAAGTATAGATAGAAGCAAGCTACTTTGAAATCTGTCAGGCTGGATTATTCAGGCTCTAAAATTTACTAGCTTTTACTGTTTTTCACAATGTGATATAGAAGACTTAGTTATGAATAATTCCAGCATCCCCAGTTTCTACTTATGTGACCCTGGGCAAAGTTACTTAGCCTCTCTGAATCTGAGCTTCCTCATTTATAAAAAAGGAAGCAGTGACAACTACCTCATATGATTTGGTTCAGACAAAAACAAAATCATTCACTTGCATTCATTCATTCACAATTGAAATGTAAGGGATGCAAGGAAAAGAAGATTCAACTGCTGCCCTAAGGGAACCCATAGTCCAAGTGAAGGAAACAAACTAGTAAATAGAAACAAATGAAAACTGCAAGGGCCCAGAGGTTAATACAGAGTGCTAAGGAAACGAAGTACAGTACCTAATATTGCCTGAAGGTAAGGGTTCATGTCCAATTTTACACTTGAAGGATAAGTGAAAATTCAAAAGACAGACAAAGAGTATGGACCAAGCATTCCAGGCAAAGAGAAATACAACCCCACCCAGTAAAACCCTTTGCACAGTGACTAACATATAATATCTTCTCGATGTTTAAGTATTTTCTGCTAATGTTATAAAAAATTACAAATTATGTCCTTCAGAGTACCATCTGATTTTGAAGGAAAAGAATACAAATGCTTGTACAAAAAAATTAAACAAAAAAATTAACCATAGTTTTGTTTCTTCTACATAATCTTCCAAAAAATTAAAATATCTAAATAGCCAGGCATAGTGGTGTACACCTATTCCTGCTACTCAGGAAGATAAGGTGGGAAAACCACTTGGGCCCATGATTTTGAGAACTGCCTGGGAAATAAAGGGAGACCCACTTCTCAAAAAAAAAAAATACACACACACACACACACACACACGTGTGTGTGTGTGTGTGTGTGTGTAAATGCCTACATTGTAATTTAAAGTG